AGGGTTTAGGGTTTAGGGAAGATTGACCCTTCTCAGCAGAGCCCGCTAAAGGCTTTCGACGGGGGGCTTGCCGCATCGCACAAGAGCTTCTGGGGCTTTCCGAAGTTTTCTAGACTTTAGTGAGGGTTTCTTACAATGAGAGGATTTCCCTCCGGACGACAAGCTCCGATAAAAACACATAGTTGTAAGTAGGATAAACTCAACGATGACATTTATCACAACAGTGATGTCAATGATAGGACTAAGCAAACAAAACGAGCAAGCTAAAACCCACTTAGTATCATAGGGGCCTTAATAATTAGAATAGGTTTTGGGCTATATGATACCATAATTATAATACTGTAAGGAGCCCCCCAAAATAGTATAGGTAATTGTTAAGGCACCTATATTACAACCCTGGGGATGTCTACGGCGTCACTGGTGGTTCACGGCGCTTGCAGAACAAATGACCGAATGCGAAACGAACGCAGCAGTTCCACGAGCATTGCGCGGGCAACCAACTCAGAATTATCACAGAGGTGCCAAAAATACTGACACTTAGTTGCGGTAAGCCCGCAGCAATTGTCACACCTTATGAAAGCCATGAAGCATTTAATCATCCCTTCACCCCCTAAATCGTAAATGCGGAGTGCCCATAACTCCCCGACAATCAACAGTCGTGGCGACATTTCTCGGGCTTTTCTCCAGCCTGGAAATCATAGAGAGCGTTGCTGCCACACCACCACAACGCACGGATTCCAATACCTGCACCTGAATCCCCGAAACCGCCAACGTTAAGACAAAGGTCCTGTACTATCTTCCGCAGCCCCTTCAACCTCGCAACCCCCTTACAAACCATAACCCTATGATAGCACTTGAAGCAACCCACGAAAACTCTTCACTCCTAAAGTCCCTAAAGACAACCCTAAACCCTAAACCCTAAACCCTAAAACCCTAAACCCTAAACCGTGTTTCGCGCCTGGAGCTCGCCCTCCCGGACGAAGCCGCTGCCCGCAGGCACCACGGGAGCCGCTTGGACGCGGCGCCGTCGCCGCACCGGAGCGACCGGCGCCTTCTTTTCTTCTTTTGACTTAATGATCTTTTCCTTTTTAAAACGAATGCTCTTTGGACAATGTTTCTTCTTCTTTCGACTTAATGATCTTTTCCTTTTTTCAAACAAATGCTCTTTTCTTCTTTGGACAATGTTGGTTTTGATTCTGACTTCTGACTAAATGATCTTTTCCTTTTTAAAACAGATGCTCTTTTCTTCTTTGGACATTGTCTGTTTTGGTTCTGACTTATGATCTTTTCAATTCAACAAAACAGCACTTATTATAGAAACCTATTATGGTAACTTCACCTACGTCCCCTCACACGAACCCGCAAGCTAAAATCCTAAAGCCCTAAAGCCCTAAACCCTAAGTCCCTTCACCACGAACCTATGGAACACTTTGGAAACTTAACTTTAGTCCAAACCCCTTTGTTTACTATAGACCCCATTGTGGTACACGCGAACCCTAAACCCCTAAAGCCGTAAACCCTGAACCCTGAAACCCTTACACCTCAAACCCTTAGGTTCTGAATCCCTAAATCCTAAGTCCCTTCAAACCCCCCATACCCTAAACCCTAAACCCTAAACCCCCCCTCAACCCGAAACCCTAAACCCGAAGCCCTAAAACCCCCCTCCCCCCTCTTCGGTCTCGCCTCTCCCGCGCCCGCGGCGGCGTGCACGGCCGCCTTGGCGGCCTCCAACTCGGGCCTCGGATCAGCCAAAAGTGGGTTCCCTTGTAAAGGGTTCCTTTTAAGGGTAACAGGGGCCATTTTAAAGGGTTTCTTGTAGGTTCCTCTTTAAAGAGTTCCTTTTAAGGGTAACAACGGCCATTTCAGAAGGTTTCTGATAAGTTCCCCTTTACAGAGTTCCGGGTAATAGGCCCTTTTAACGGGTTTCTTTTGGGGTTTCTTACCAGTTCCCCTGAAAAAGAATTCCTTTAAGGATAATGGGGGCCATTTCATCACGGGTTTCTTTAAGGGTGTGTTATAAGTTCCAATCTGAAGGGCTGCGTTGAGGGTAATAGGGGGCCCTTCGAAATCTTTCTTTAAGGGTTGCTTATAGGCTCCCCGTTGAAGGGTTGCTTTGAAGGTAATAGGGGGCCTTTGGAGGGGTTGCTTTAACGGTATTAGGTTGGGGGTAAGGTGTAGGGTTTCGGGTTTAGGGGGGTAGGGTTTTAGGGCTTAGGGTTGAAGTTTTATTATTTTTTGGGTCGTGAGCGTTTTTTGGAGGGGGTAAGCAAGAGTGAAAGGAGTTGTCGGTGGGATTAGGAAGTGTTGGGTCTTGTTGTAGGCCCTTTATTGGGTTCCAGAGTTGGTCATGCTGTCTAGGACGTCTGCTCGGCAGAAAAGAATTTCGGAGAGGTTGAAAACATGTGTTGGGGGGTTTACGTGTTTGCTATAAGAGCTTAAAGAATTACCGATACTATTTTGGAGGTTCCCTACAATGATTATGGTGCAATATCCCCCGAACTCTATTCTAATAATTTAAGACCCCTATATTGTGGAACTATCGATCCCTTAATCCTTCAAAGAACCCCTTCGAAAGGAACCTTCTTCAAAAAATTAAGGCCCCTATACTGGAATCTTGTAAGGCTTGGAGCCTCGTGTTGATGGGTTTTCCACCAAGAAGCTCTGGGTAAATCAAAGACCATACGAAAGAGTTTAGGGTTTCAGGGTTTAGGGTGTCTTTTTAACATGCAGCGTTTTTGAAGAGACACAAGGTAGTCCGTAATACCCTCTAAACCCAAAGGGTTCTTACTATAAGGGTGAATTTAAGGATTCCGGTTGGGGTTTCTGTAAAGGTCCCGTCAAAGGAAGCTTAGTGACTCCGTCCACGGAGAATAAGACTCTATACGATGCAATCGAGCGACAGGACTCCAGGGTTTTGTGGGTTTAAGCTGTCAATTCGGTTTAGGGGGTTTAAGGTTCAGGGCTCTAAGACAAATTTAGGGTTCAACATCTGAAGCTACGGGTTCGCGAAGCAACCAAAGACCAAGCAGTCTAAGTGGTAACTCTATGTTGCACTGGTCCAAAATATCCTTTCCAACCCCCTTCTCCCGATAAATTCCTGCATAGGTCCTCCGCCTCGAACAGCTATGGTGCTACAATTTCCGTGTCCTCGCTTTTCTGTCCGCAGCGAACGTATGTTCGGCCATTTAGTGCGTCACGCCTGATAAGCAAAACAAATAACGTGCGAAGTATAATCCAATGTAACTCCGGCAACGAAGGAAGTGGACTCCAGCTCCACGAAAGGTACAACAGAAGATCGAGTTTTCACGACTGGAACACTGCCGGAAAAGCTTACCATGACAAAGCGCCTGAGTTCTCTCGTAGTGCGTGCAACAGCCAACACATAAATCACATGAGCTATCCTCATCGTGACCCTAGGCTTGCGTTTCAGGGCGCTCTTCAGCGAAGCGCTACTAGGACACTCCGGTTGGGCACTGCAAGGTGTTTGGGGACTGGAGACACGCGCCCCGCTTCGGCATGGCCGGCGAATATGACAAGCGGAGCAAGTGCGCTCAAAAGTGGCCATGGACAGAACCTGTTGTCACTGAGTCATCAAAAATTTTGCCAGTCATAAACTTATCACAAGTCATAAGCCAAGCACGGTATCTGCAATGTTGTGCCTTGAGGATGTCCGCGAGTCTTCGCGCCAGCTCCCTCAACTTGACATTCTAACTTGGCCGAATGTCACGAAATCGCAGGCTTGGATGCATTGTGGGCTGATTTGCTCACACGCTCGGGATCCTTGATGAGCATCAGGCCGTTACGCATCTGGACCTCCGAATCGCTCCGGCCTCCAATCTAAATCTGGTGAGCTGTCCGGTTCAAAACGGAGGATGGCATCTGCCTCCGCAAAAAAACGGGGTCTCCGTCGTCAGTTCTCCACGTGCGCAGGAGAAATGCCAGTGCCTGCCCGAACAGAAGAAAGACATGATGACTCATGTGTGCGTTGTTTCTGTTGCCTTCTTGTCCTTCTTCTTGCGTGCATTGCCGTTGCCTGCCCCGTCTGGACATGACACCAGAAGCTTTTGGCAGGAATCCGCAAAGGCAGAGGACGCTTGTGCGATTGGATGAACATGGATGAACGCAACCTGTAAACGTCAAGCTTGCCTCATAGTGACGGGGCAGGGATTGACAGGCGGTTCCAACGAGAAAGTGGGCCCTCCTGCAAAGCCGTGCTTCGCCCTGAATCATGAAGCGCACGTTCGTTCTAAGATCTCCGGAGGCCTGCGTGCAAGCATCAATGTCGGGCTTTGGGTATGCCTCCTTCAAATCACACAGCAACTTCTCCTGGCCTCTTGCAAAAACGCGGCTTATCAAGCTGCTCTCCCGCCATCGGAGCGAGATCGGGGAGGTGGCAATCCAAAAGTGTCCCGCGATGATGCTAGCGAGGGAGAACTCCGGCATTTCAAGCCGGTGTAGCGGGTACGGCCCACCTCATCATGAGGTATGACGTGGTCTTGCTCTTTCGGGACCATCATGAAGATCTGTCTGGGCTCAAAACCCAGCTTCGCTCCAATGGATCGCATGTGCCGGTAAAGGCGCTCTGCTGCTGCCTGTTAGGAGACTACTTAGAGGATCATGGGACTGAGTAAGTAGGGTTATAATTAGGATAAGTATACTTATAACCCCAATTAAAGGATGTATAACCTTACGTACTAAGTCCCATGACCCTCCAAGTAGCATGTTGTTGCAATGGTAGAGACTTTGCCCAGGCCTCCAGGGTCAGTTTGCGCCCGAGGCTGTCCGCCCAACAACCAGGATCCCCGTCAGCAAGCCGGGGGTCGCTGAGATCATCTGACATGACCGCAAGCGTCTTCCTTCACCCGACAATACGGCAACCTTTGTGCTATGTATAGATATGTATAGCGAAATGGATCAGCACAATCCACCTCCTTTGTAAGTCGGCGAAGGTCGCAAGCTTTGTTGATGGAGTTCACCATCGACCCTGTTGCGCGCGCGTTTTGCGCACCCTCCTTCCGGAAGGCCCCGGACATGCCGGTTGCAACCTTGTGAAGGAAACACTGCGTTGACCTCCATGTTGAATTTCAACTAGTAGCACCGCTGTCTGAAACTTCTGGCATGTGCGTTTGCTCCTGAACCTTGCGGGGTGTCTACAAGTCTTTCTGAAATGTGCCAGGTTTTAGGGTTTCGGGTTGGCTTTTCTTGCAACAGGTCTTTAACCCTTTGTCGTCTTATTCAGTCTTGACAACGACGAGTATACATAGAGTACCAATGGCTTGTCAACCTCTAAATCCCCCCGTAGATCCTGCCTGTCAAACTCTACAACCCTAAACCCTAAAGGCTAAACCCTAAACCTGAAAGGCTAAACCCTAAACCCTAAACCTGAAAGGCTAAAACCTAAGCCCTAAACCCTACAGGCTAAACCCAAAACCCCAAGGCACCTAATTTCCCAGAAAGCCGCACAGCCAGCGGATCTCTCAACTGGGGCCAGGATGCCAAACGAGCTCACGCGGTGCTACGCGCATCTCCCCCCCGCCTCCGTAACCGCCTCGGAGGGTTTGAGGACGGCCGGAGCTTCAGGGCTTCGTAGGGAGTTGAGGTTTTTCAGGCTCAGGGTTTAGGGTTTTAGGGTTTAGGGTTTAGGGCTTAGGGTTTGGGATTTAGGGCTTAGGGCTTTAGGGCTTTCGGGTTTAGGGCTTAGGGTTTCGGATTTAGGGTTTAGGGGGGTGTTAAGGCTCTCAGACAAGTTTAAGTTGAGCTGTATGTAGGTCGGATGAGGAAGAAATGCTTCGTCAGCGTGTGTGTGTTTGTGTGTGTGATTTGTGCAAGCCTTCAGGTTTCGTCGGGCGCTTCGGCAGCAGCAGGAGTTTGGGTGGTTCTAGGGTCGGCCGGAGGAGATGCATCGTGTTATACTACGAACTCTTTGAATGATTCGCATAGAAACTATTTAGGCCCTCAACCCAGAATTCGTGCTTTCTCAAGAAGTTGCAGAAGGTTGTTTGCTGTCTTACTACGAGCTGCACTGGGCTTTGTTTTTTGTTGTTCGGGTTTCATGCAGGGCTTCTAGACTTTGATTAGGTTTAG